TCGACTTATAAGATTGATAACTCTTTTTGACTGAAATAGTCTTTATATGTGTCATGTATAATTCGCTACTTTCTCTATCGGCATACGCTATTCATGTGGTTTAGGCTATTATTAAAAAAGAGACCAGCGTATAATGTGACTACTTGCCTGCGTAATATAGAAAAAATCAGAATTCTTCCATAAAGACTTTGTTTGGTGTCGTTCACAACTATGCATAGTAGTGCAGGAATGGGCTTGGCTAATCTTCCTCAGAATGTCGGTTATTATCTTCTGATAAATATTATTTAGTGTAATTTAATTTGCAATTTCTCTTCACATTTTAACATTGCTAATCATTTTTCACTGTTGGGAATGGAAGTATTACAGTTTGAAACCATGCTCAGTTGTGTCATGTTGTACACTGATTATGAATATTTGATAATATTTCACCATAAAATTTTATTTAAGAATGTGTTTTCAACCTTCGAATCTTGGAGTGGTTTCGTAAAATTAAATAAATTGTCAATTGTTACTATTACTTTTCTTTTGAACAATTCCCGGTATTATCGCTGTTACCGCCATTATTTTATATAATTTTTAAATTACTGTCTTACAATAAGTATCACATTTCATTAAGCCGGTTACCTTTACTAGTTTGAATAAGGAAAGGACAAAACATAGCCACAGGACAGTACGAGATCGATTTACTTCGTCGATTCCCTTCAACTGCTTACATCCTAAATAAATCAATTGTGTGTTACAAAATTTCTGAACATACTTTTTACAACGACTTGAAGTTATAGGCACAGAGTATAGGCACCATAATTTCAAAGATAATGGAAATAGACAATTATTTAGTGTTAAGAGAGTAACTGTTTATATAGCTATTAGACAAAGAGATGGTGTTTTGATTTCGCCTGGAAACAATGATGGACTAGAGACGAAATACAAGATACAACAACAGAGTTCATTTATACATGTTGTTATGGTGGAGACTTCAGGTGTGTGGGTCTGAATAGTGAGATAAAATTACAAAATAAACAAAATAATTTAATTTAGTAGATTTGGAACCTTGATAGTGAGTTCATCTCAGTTTTATTTTTTTATTTCAACACATAAGCGAAAATGGGAACCAAGATTGAGGGATTTGTTCTGCTGCATATCATTCCACAGAATAAAACACGAAAGTATAACATTCTATTCAATCTTGACAAAACAAATTTAGCCCAAGGACATATTGAAGGTCAAAATAACCCTGGAGGTCAATGAAACAGAAAATGGTAATTGTGTGGCGGGTGCTGCTGATAGGATTTATCAGTTCGACATAAAGAAACGTCCACTGGCACAAAACATTATATTGCAGGCGGATACATTTGATTTTAGACAAGGGAAATGATACAATTTTGTGGAGATACATGGGAGACGTGAAAGAAACACAACATGAAGTCCAGAAGTACTGTAACGACAGAAGACAAGACCCAGGCAACAGATAAAATCAACAGATATTTATAGATTTTATGTTCATTATTGTCAGTGGAGAAGCAACGTCTTCTGATTGGTTGTTGTTTTGCTGAAGGTTGATTTGTACTGCTTGTGACCGTTTCTCAGAAAGCCAAGCTATATATCTGCGAATCGTATTTTCTCACGTTAAGTCTGCCGTGATTGGTTGGTGAGTTTCCTCGAGGCTAAGCTTTGCTATAGTTTTTCTCATGACTCCTATTCAGGATGTAACATTGACGTAAATTGCTGTCCACAGTTTTGGCTTGCAGTCAGCTGACACCATAGTACCACTAAACGAAGATGTTTACAAACGCTGTGGTGATGATGATACGGACTTCCTATAGCGACACCATCGACCTACCGGAAGCAATTACCTTCAAATGTGAACCTAACATTTCTAGTAAATAGAAGTAATAAATCCCTTATATAAGGTATAGGGATCAGGACGGAAAAGTTATGTGTGGAAATGTAATCACAAAAAATGTCGATTATTTTAAGTAAAGGCACATTTGTGAATAAAGAGTTTATATCAAAACTATTTATATTTTTTATTGATAATATTAATATCATCAAGATAATTAATCAGTTCATATGCATCTCTTAATAGACACCTACAGAATTGTGTTTTGAATAGGCTCAATAATTTTGCTAACCTTTTAGTAAGTTTGGGTGCTTGGGGACCTGCACACATTGACAATATAGGTCGTAGACGATCATTGGGTGTATGTGATTTTGGTAAACAATACATGTATGGGAATTTACATTCTGATGGTTTTAAAGAGTCAAATGTATATTAACTTGTAGCATTAGGCTGAAAAGCTTCACTAGACTAGCTGTCACTGTGCCTTGCAACAACTGATTACCTTCTGAAGACGGATTACAGCTGAATTTACTTTTATCATCAAGAATAGATAACATCCTGGATTTTTAGTCACTTTTGTTCATGATGACAACTCCGGAACCTTTATCAGGTTCCAGCGTTGTTATTAATTGGGTAGTCCTGTAGCCCTTTCAAGGCTTTGAAATGCTGGGAAGTCAGAATGCTTTTCTCTTTTGGATTGTTGTTTGAAAACTAGGGAGTTATATCCACCATCTTGGTTTCAAATCAATCCCTATCTTCATCGGATGTTCTGACAAGATATCCGAGTTAGTCGTACAAATTTCCGAACTCAGCATGGATGGATAAATCACTAAATTGCATACGTGTAAAAACATAAAATTTTTGATTTTCACCCACTGAGTTGAACTCACTATCAAGGTTCCAAATCTACTAAATTAAATTATTTTGTTTATTTTGTAATTTTATCTCACTATTCACACCCACACCCCTGAAGTCTCCACCATAACATGTATAAATGAACTCTGTTGTTGTATCTTGTATTTCGTCTCTAGTCCATCGTTGTTTCCAGGCGAAATCAAAACACCATCTCTTTGTCTAATAGCTATATAAACAGTTACTCTCTTAACACTAAATAATTGTCTATTTCCATTATCTGTGAAATTATGGTGCCTATACTCTGTGCCTATAACTTCAAGTCGTTGTAAAAAGTATGTTCAGAAATTTTGTAACACACAATTGATTTATTTAGGATGTAAGCAGTTGAAGGGAATCGACGAAGTAAATCGATCTCGTACTGTCCTGGGGCTAGGTTTGTTCTTTCTTTATTCAAATTAACACATTTTTGCGTTATGTTTCAATCGGTTAGCAATCCTATTTTTTCTTCAGCCTCTCTGAGATTATTACATTTCATGAAATGTTTTATGAAGTAAATAACCAATTAATTTTTGTCACAATATATATATATATAGACAACTGTGACACTTGATGAGAAACTCGTCAAAAAGACACTGAATCACTTGTTTTGATTTTACAAATAGATTATCACTAAAAATCGGTTGAAGCTGCAAGCCAGGTTTGTGCACCTTTGGTAAGCCATAGAGTCGTGGAATGGTTGATCTTGTCGGTTTGAGGCGATCGATGAATACGTTACTATGGTGCAGAACAGAAGAGCGGAATATGTTAAATCAGATTTAAACAAAAGCTTGAAGCCCAGAATAAATTCCCTAGCGATCCCAATAAATTTGTTTTCAATCATTCTTCAGTTCCGTTATCAACGGTACAACTAGACTAAAATTCTGTGATGTTAATCTTAACAGCAACAGACTTCATACGTATATTCAATTCGAGAACCTCATAAGCCAAACTCATGATATTACTCCAGTCTCCGACGCAGATTTCCTACACTTTAAGTCAACAATCTTCGATTGCTGTAATCAATATCTCAGCTTAAAAACTCAAGCCCGACGTCTACTGACAAAAGAACATAGAAAACAACTCAAAGAATTAAGAGACAATAAAGATTTAATAATAACACGTCCTGACAAAGGATCAGGAGTGGTCCTCATGGACAGAGATGTATATATTAACAAACTGACAACACTTATATCAGATGACAAGAAATTTTCCAAGCCCAACAATGAGAATAACAAGACAAAACTGATTGAAAGACAACTAACGGATGTTCTCAGAAGAATGAAGAACGACCGTCTGATACCTTAGGACCTGTTCGATCGCCTCAAACCTACAGGATCAACTATTCCCCGACTCTACGGCTTACCAAAGGTGCACAAACCTGGCATTTTTTTGATTTACAGCTTGATTCCACGCTGTATTTTTGGTACAAGTATGGAATTTTCAGCATGGATATTGGTAGCCCAAATTTTGCAGGCCGACCATTGATATCAGGCGTGCGTCGACAGAGGATCGGACCATGTGCATGGTCGGCGAGAGTCCTAACCACTGTGCCGCTTCGACCGATTCTAGACATGTCAGGGTCACTATATCACTAAAAAAGCCTTTCTTTTGGACCAAGATGTTCTTATATGAAGACTGATGATTAAATGGGACTAACTTTTAGATAAGTAAATCCTACATGTATTGTCTGTAAGCGTAATGATGTATGGCACTGATTCTGATGACGCAGACAGCACAATTTTTTTTTGATATCATAAGTATGTAATAACGGCGAAAGGTCTGTTTTTTCAGCTATCCACAACATTTGTGACCAACATTACGGGAGATTTTTTCCTCTCATCTCTTTCCGTTCATTGCATTTCCCATTTAGTTGAGATAACTAAAAGTGACAGAGATGGATAAAATGATATTTCAGAAAAGTTCACTGTAACAAAGCATTTGAAGGTAGTGCTTATCCAGACAACAGTCGACCGTGGTAACACTAACACTGGTGATATCGGTTTTTGTGTTGGAGGCTGCAGAAACCTAATTGTTACCTACTTGTCATCCCCGTGCCTAGAGCACATTTGAAGTGTGAAATTCTGATAAATTATCTAACTTGGTTGTTTGCACGTGTGCTTGTTTTTTATTGGTATCGTAATTTTGTTTAATTGGTTAAAAGGTGGAAAACAGTCGACGTGTGCAAAAAAATTTTTTTTCTATAAGACGTAGTTCCTTCTTACTGACTGTACCTCATACAATTATTGTTTCTTTGTTTTCTGTACAGATTCTGCTGCATTTCAAGATGAACAGTTTCTTCCTTCTGGATCTATTTTCTTAGAGGTAACATTATTTTTCAGGAATTTTTAATATATTTGTGCGTTGAAGTTTCTGTAGCGATTTGGTTAAGTTTTGGAGGTGGAGTTGCTAGCGCCACGCCCCAACGCTCCCTCTTTATCCGGGCTTGGGACCGGCTAGAAAACTATGTGCCGCCGTGCCACCGACGCACAAGGACCAATCAGCCAACAAATATGCAGGAGAAAGTGGAGATGGATTGGACACTCGTGGCTGAGGAGGCCGCTGGGTGACATCGCGCGCGCGTTAGGTCATTGCTAGAGTGGGACCAGGCCGAAAGGGAAGCGGCGAGTGGGATGTCAGTGCAAGGGTGACATGGAGGAGCTCGTGTGAAGAGGAGTTGAAAGAGTATGGACTAACATGGATGCAGGTGAAAAAGTACAGCAGAAGCAAACAGAGGCGTGCAGTTAAAGCCCTATGTTCCACTAGGAACTCAAGGGAATAATAATATAATAATAACATTATTTTTCAAATATATATATATATATGTATACTCCTAACTAGGATTTTAATAATCAATATTTTCCTTAGTATCAATTTGAATTTGCTTGTAAAATTATCCAAGATGGAGAATTACGTACTTCTAAGATTCTCATCCTGACTGCGATTTTCTGTTTCTTTTCTGTTGTAGTCTGTGGCCAGTTGGGTCGATGTGTACATATTGATGGTGTTTAATGCATTTATCTGCTTATAAAATTGTAGGCTTTACTGTTTCTCCAGTTAGTTGGTTTACATGTTAATGTGTTTATAGTTCAATTGTTAAATAAGTTAGTTAACACCTACCTTTACATTCACTCCAGATAAATAAATTTTTAAATTCATTATTTCGCTAATCTGCTCTGTTGAACTGCCTACTCATTCCAGTCATCATTACCCGATGATATTATCTTGGATGATACTTGGCGATATAGACCATTTCCAGGCATACAAGTGCCCGTTGTCCGATCACCGTATCCAACTTTTGGATCACCTTGGCCATTACCACAGTTTTGGTCATCATCGTTTTGTTATTATAATCTGGATTCGGAAAACTTCAATTTCAAGTTAAACAAGATTTCAAATGATATTTTGAAAGTACGTTGTATTTTTGTATTTTTCGCGTATAAATTTCGATCCAGTACACATTCATTAGGTAATTGACACAAATATAATACAAACTATGACTATACGAATAGTATGTTCTAAGTGTAATACTTCAGCCAATTAGTGCAGTTAAATGTTTGTGAGGTAAACAATAAGATTCATCTAACAATCACAAAAAAAAAATAAACAAAAGAAGACTTAAAATCAGGTTTCTGAAGTGATGGAAAATATTTTTAGAATGCAGATGGTGTCAGAGCTAGTCAAGCAACTTGGGTGTTGATCTTTATAAATTTTCGTTTATGAGCACCTGTAAATATGTCGCTTGAGGGGAGGCTATGTATCTTCATTGCCTCAGTGAGTTGGTTAAATTTTGCCCTACATGTTCCTTATCACTGTCTAATTTGACGTTATGCGTTGACGAATACATCATTAGGTTGGAAAAGAATAAACGGTAGTCAAAACAAAACACAACATCAATTTATGAAGTCATTATCTGTTGGTGTTGAGTTGCACAGCAAAAGTTATAGTTTATCTGTTGTGGCTTGACTCTAGATCAACTGTAGTGGTATCATTACTACACTCTGGTGCTCTATTCTAATCTTGATCTCAATGCCTTACTTCATATTTAGTTGCTTTACTTTCTCTTCGTTTGGGTTGATATCACTAATAGCGTCTCTGGTGAATTATTTCCATTTCCATTCTTTCACATTTGACTTGATGTGATGTTGGAGAGTGAAAGCTTTTCTCACCACAGACTAATGTTCTTGCTAGGTTCTCTGTCATTGTATTATCTGTTCATATTCTCAAGGGGATTTATAGTTAGCATTACATCTCATGATGATTTATTAAAAAAAAAAAATAACAAGTGGAATAGTTTTTGCATATTGTCATATTGTACTAGCAATTTCACTTACATAATCAAAGATACAAAAGCGGCTGATTTTCGCTTGTAGGATAATTAGCATTTCTGATTGTAGCGAGACTTAGTGCGAGTTAAGTTTCTCTTAACACAATAACCGTAAATTCTAATGCCCAATCAATTCTGTGTGGATTGTATTTGAAAATACTTTAGAGGTTTCTTTCTTAATACTACAACTGTTCAATTCAAACATATCCAGAGAAAAACTCTGTGACACGCTTCAATCAGACGTTCATTGTTTAAACCCACAGGTCAATATAACCCATTCTACTACAATCCTTTTCCATGGTAGATTTTATAACGAATGTATGTTATGTTAGAGAACCTTTTAAAACTGTGAGCCCCCTGGACAGCAGTTTCATCCTGGTTGGAGGCTCTTTTACAGCTCTCATCCAATATCTGATCGGGTTTCGAATCTAGGGTCATCAGGTTATGAGGCGAACATGTTGACCATTCGGTCACCGAGTTGGAATTCGATGGATGACCCATGAATTCTTACTTTATTCAGTTCACATGGTATAGCAAGTATCTCGAACTTCGTCAAAACAGCTGTCCAGTGCTCCCTGGTCTTCAGTATTTTCCTAACTGACGTCCGTTCTTGATAAATTCTACCTTGAAATCAACCAGATCTCCTCATCCTAAACAAAAATACTTATCCTTTTTGCTTGGGAAACGCTGTAACAGTCTATAGTGTAAACACGTAGTTCTGCTTAACTCCAACAATATCAAATTATTTTTATGAGGTTATCTATCCACTTTTTATTCATTTGAAGGATATCATTTTTCTATACTGTAATATCTCCAAATACACAGTATGTTTATTCAATGTGTCTTATTTATTTTTATATATTACTTTAAGGTTCACTACTAATTACTTACCGGTTTACATACTACTACACCAGTTCCTTTTCCCTGTGTTTTCCAGTCGGCCATAAATCGATATACATATATCATACAAAACAAACTTGGCTTCGGTATCTATCCAAAAATTTGGCAACATGATGATTACAAATTACCCACCTATAATTTTAAAAATTATCAGTTAGAATGCAGAAGAAATGCTGGGAAAAGTCATCAGTATGACAGTAACACAGGTAAAAATACCTATAAGAGCAACATAATGAGAAGAAAGAATCATATGCCATTTGTTTCACACCGTCCCTATACTTCCTACCGTCAGTATATTTCAGGACAAATAAGTCGATTGATCAAAAAATACAAGTTATCTTCATTGATTATGCCATATACTGGGAGTCAAAAGTTTGCTTTATTACATGTTATAAAATCTGGTTCATCCTGGCCTCATATTGATATGGATGAATCGTGTAAGCTTTTTTTTTTTTTAACCAACTGTTTCTAACCTTTGTATATTTATTACTTGAATGATTTTTATGCATAAACTAAAGAATTATTTGTTTTGCTTATTTAACATGTGTCCAAATTGTTACTACCTAATAATATAGGTGAAGTAATCTGATCAAGTATCAATATGAACTTTACAACAAAAATAGATTTTTAGTTCCAGTGCTTATTGACAGATTGTTTCGTGATGAATTTCTTGAAATTTTAGATTTAATGAAAACAAAACACGTAGATCAGCGAAGAGTCTCTTTTCGGCGAATTCATTTTCTTAGCTGTACAATCGCAAATACATATGTGTACATTAAGTTTGTCAAACAAAATTACAATTGGTTAAGGTTATTTTAACTAAACAGGTGAAGGTTGGTAATACAAGTCAAGAAAACTAAGTGTTGATGAAGCTAGGGTAGTAACAAAATAGATAATACGAAATTATGTAAGAGATCTAAGTGAATACAAGAATTATAAGCAATTAAAGAACAGGCAAAGAAACAAAATTAAGTTATCAAAATAAAAATTAAAAAAAAAACTCAAAACAAATCAAAACATTGTTACCATGAGAGTAGAAGTGGTTGAGTAATCTTCTTCCGTATGTACAGGTCCAGTTTTTCCATGTGAATGGCCAGAGCTTCAGCGATACAAAGGTGATGAAACCGTATTGCCTTTGATAGGTTATTCTTGACTCTGTAGATTACTTTGAACGAGGCGTTTGTTGAAATGCAATGATCAGTGTTAACCAAGTGTTCAATTATCGGACTCCTTATTGCAGCACTATTGCCTTTTGGCAACCATGCTGACTGGATAGTGTTCTTGAATCCTCTTGGACAGGATGCTCGTCGAACGACCGATGTACCTAGCTCCACAGCAGAAGGTGAACTGATATATGCACATAGAAGTGGCCAGATGCGGGATCTTGTCCTTGAGGCTTCTACAGGTCAGTGGGCGACTGGAAAACACTATTCTTAGCGTTGCTGCAAAGAATGTTCTTCTCAGAGATGATGTGATCCTTCTCTTGAGAATATCGCTCGCTAAATCTCCCTTGAAATCCAAATTCATGTAGTTTCTTTTTACGAGCAATTAAAGTTTCTATAGCTGGGTATCTATTCAAAAAAAAGCGAAATTTAATTAAATCATTTGTCACTGGCATCCAACGCATCTGTAGACCCGACATTCTGGAAACAAAATTAGATATTCTAAGAGAAATCTTCATCCAAAATGGATACCCAATAAGATTTATCGACAAAAATATCAAACCAAGAATTCGTAGAAACAAGAAGTAACAGACGAAAACCAACAAACTGGTTAAAGATGTGGGCAGCAAAGACAGGACTCCAGGTAAACACACAGAGAGGACGACGTGATGAAGATAACCAACGAACCGCAATAGCAACAACAACAACCAGCCCCAATCAGCATCAACGGGAGAGATTCAACAGAGGTGTTACCTCGTTCACTTATCTAAGAAGCATCGTTTCAACTACAGATGGAATGGTTGAAGATATCGAAGCAGGCCAGAATAGGAAATGCGACATACACCTTTATCAACCTGAAACGAGTTTGAAAATTTACTTTTTTTTTTAATTTTTGATTACAGCTTGATTCCACACTGTATTTTTGGTACAAGTATGCAATTTTCAGCGTGAATATCGGTAGGCCAAATTTTACAGGCCGACCATAGATATCAGGTAGGTGTGCGTCGGTGTGGACTCGAACCCTGGGCCATGTGCATGATGGTCGGCGAGAGTCCTAACCACTGTGCCACCGACGCACAGCATACGGAACAAGATTTGTATTCCCAACACTTATGTAAAGTCGAACCTTCTATACTGGTCAGAAACTTGACCAGAGCGTCACGAAAAGGATTTCAAACAGGCTACTGTAGACTTTTGTCAACAACTGCGCCATTGGTTGTCTCCATACTGAAAACCAAATGGCCCGCTATATACTATATCAGCATCAAGAAACTCTGCAGTGGAACAAACCAACCAAGAGCCAATCACTCAACAAATACGTAGAAGAAAATGGAGATAGATCGGACATACACTGAGTAAACCGTTGAATGACATCACGCACCCGGGCCATCGCTCGAGTGGAATCTCAATGGGAAGTGACGAGTGGGTCGTCGGTGCGAGGATGACATAAAGGAGATCGTGAAAGGAAGATATATGAAGGATTATTGTTAATCGTGGACTCAGATGAAGAGGACGGCAGAAAATGGAAGAAAGCGGCGAGGTTTTGTTGAAGCCCTATGTTCCACTCGGAACCCAAGGGGACAATGATAATAAATAAAATAATTCCCATTGTTGAACTATAAAAAATAAAACTGTCTCATATTAATTCCTTACCCTTCAATAGCCGTTTGGTATAACGCTTCCTACAAATAAATCTTTAAACATGATAAATTTATTCTCCTTTATGAATTTAAATAAAGCAGGAGCAACAGTTTGTGCGGAATAAAATGGTGTCATCATTAATTTTTTAAGCTTCTCAGTAGCTGCTTACAGCCCAATTTCTTTTGAAAAACTTTAATGGGCACTATTAATCACTTCTAACTTATAATCGTGTTAGGAGGAGTTGAAACAGTATAGTATTTTATTATTATTTTATTTAAACGCATAAAAAACTTGGTACAATATGGCACCAAGAAGGATGCGCCACACAATAATAATAATAATAATCAAAAAGAAAAAAAGGAAGGAAGGAAAAGAAAAAAATATATATAAGTAGAGAACGGATAAAGAACTTCATCTGGAAGGAAAACACTCATGCTTAACAAGTTCAAACAGTGTTCGTTAACTATCAACGGGAAGGGAAGAAAGAAGGGAATCGCAACACATTCGCCATTGATTACGATTCTTGGCCATATCCGATAACGTTTCGAGCCACCGATTTGAGCTATCTTGCGGACCCCAATCAGGGAGTCGTGACACACCAACTGATGCTAATCTAGCACAAAACTCCTTCATCCCACGACGCCACGTCATGGACTGACCATTTCTCCGCTTTTTGCATCCCGTCCCTGGGCTAGCGAACAGAGACCTGTACGGAAGCCTCTGGGGTGACATTCGGAGCACATGTCCAAGCCACCGGAGCCGGTGTTTCCAGATGACGACACTCAATGAATGATGGTCTCCACTGTTTTCAAACACGCTCCGCCGAACTCAGAATTACTCACGCGATGATGCCATCGAACGCAAGTAATCCTGTGGAGACAGCGGTGGTCGAACACGCAGAGTCGCCGCACAACCTCAGCGCGGAGAGGCCAGGTTTCACAGGCGTAGAGCAGCGCAGCCCACACCGAAGCATTGTATACCCGACCTTTGACAGCCAGGCTAACGTCGCGACGGCGCCAGAGGTGGCTCAAGTTGATGTATGCCACCCTAGCCTTCATTATACGGTTGGAAATCTCATCCATCACTCCTCCGCCAGCACTCACACAACTACCCAGGTACACAAATTTATCAACAACTTCAAGCGGTTCACCTGCAAGAGTGAGAGCAGGTACAGGCTCCTGCCAACCTTGTAACAGTGCTTTACACTTAGACGGCGCAAAGCACATACCATACTTACAGACACTGAAACAGTATAGACTAAAATGGATGCAGGTGAAAAAGTACAGCAGAAGACAGAAGCAAGTGGAGACGTGCAGTTAAGGCCCTATGTTCCACCAGGAACCCAAGGGAACAATATTATTAGTAATAATAATAACATAATTACATAGAGATTTCATTTTTAAACAAAAAATCAATATATGCGTACAGTGGAAATAATAATCACTTTATCCCAAACAATAATAATTATACACAGTGGAATTTTTCGGCTTTACTCAATCAAAAGGAATTGAGGATGAAAAAAAATCCATTTACGAGGGCAAAGAAAGACTGATAACGCTTCTTTTTGAACACAAATCGGGTTTCAGGTGCTTTATGGAGATTGCTTTGGCAAACTTAAGGAGACTTGAACTCTTTAACCTGTCGATAATTTTGAAAGATGTCGCGAAGTCCACTTCATGAACCGTGTCAAGGAGATGGCACTACTGAAAGCATTTGTTCCCTTGAGACGTACGTCTTTTGGTACATGTTCAGAAAATCGGAGATATGCCCTTCTTTCTGTTCTTCCAATGTAACTGCTCCCGCAGATACATGTAAATTTGTATATATAATTGGAGGTAACATGATATTGAACCGAGGAGCAAGTCTTCTGATAAACTGGAACCAACTTAGCCGCAGGACAGAGTCTGGCTGGTGACATATTCAATATTCTGTTGATTATTCCTGCAACATTATCATCTTTAAAATCAAGTTGAATGGAAGTAGGATTTTTTCCCACTGTGATTTGTTTTGCATTAGAGCCTTCGGATCTCCCGTACTTGTTAATAAACCTCTGAGGGTAACCGTTGTTTTTCATCATCCTTTCGAGAATCAGAAATTCTCCCTCTAATTTCTCTCGACTCTATAGAACAGAGGTTTTACTCGTACTTGTGTATAGCTATTTGAACAAAAATTATTAAAATGTAGATATTGTCCTTTCCATGTTGGCTTTCGGTAAATTGACATCTAAAGACTACCATCTTCCAGCCGTTGCATGGCAGTGTCAAGGAAATGAAACTTTCCATCATTTTCACGTTCCATAGTAAATTCAATATTTGTATGTGCGTCGTTGAATAATCTGAGTAGCTAGGATGCATGACTTTCATTGTTGTACACTACAAATGTGTCATCAACATATCGACAATAGGAAGTTGTTTCATCAGTTGAATGCTTCAACTTTGTTTTCTCAATATTTGACATGAAGAAATCAGCTAAAACGGGGCTTAGTGGACTACCCCTAGCTACACTTATCTATTTGGTGGTAAAGAGTGTTGTCAAACTGGAATTGTACATCCATGATACAAATTAGTAGAAGGATTTTGAATTCCGACACTGGGAATGGGGGAAGATCAAAATCCTGACAAATGATCTCTATAGTTTCATTGATTGAGATTCTTGTGAAGAAGGCGGTTACATCAAATGACGCTACGACCGTATTTGAAACGTTCATGTGGTTCTCGTTTTCGGCAAAATGAAATAAATCTTTCATGATGTACAAAGCTAGCCGTTGACGAATAGGTTCCAACTTCTCTGCAAGCCAACGAGAAACTTTGTGCGGAGGCGAGTTGATCATAGAAAGTATTAGTCTCAGGTGGTGGATATGTTCTCTGTGTATTTTTGACAGGCCGTATATGGATATTTATTCTGCACAAACCATTTTTCTTGCTTTATTCAATATCTGAAACATTTAAGTCTCATAGCAATCACGTTTCCCATAAAAGCCTTGTTTGTTTATAGATTGGTACTTTCTGTGTTTCAGTTAATGCGACTGGCGAGATAACGGAATGCACTGAGTATTTTTCGGTTGTTAACCTGGAATTGCACACATGGACTTTGCTATTCAGAAATTCAACATTTTGTCTTATCGATGAGTTTTTGCAACCTTATTTTAAATATTTCCTGAATTGAAGTTGGTCTTCTATTTATTATTATTATTATTATTATTATTATTATTATTATTATTATTATTATTATTATTATAGGTAACATGGTTAATGGTAATATGACGAATCTCCCTTCTTTTTGTGCTTCAATTGATAGATATTTTGGGTGTTTCAGAAGACGGGATTCTTATCGTCGCTAACGAAACCTGGGGTGCTTTAAGAGCTTTAGAAACTTTGAGTCAGTTGATGTGGACGTCAGGAGATCAGTCATATGTAAGCTTATTTACTTAAATGCCAAGTTTTTGTTGTTGTGCGTGCTTTTGTCTTTGTTTTTTTTTTCGTTTGTTAACTAAACTTCACAGGAACACTAGATACGTGGCAATCTGCCTATTCCCCAAATCATTCAAAGCCTACGATTGTGTTGAAAAGGTATAACGTTGAGTAACAGTTTAAGATTCATAGAAATAAACAATTAAATCATTTAGATTTTTTTTATTAATAAATATCAATCACATACACTTATGTTTTGTTCTAGTGATCCCAATGACTCCTACTTAATGTAATGATCGTATGCTAACAACATTATTATAATTCGCAGAATGCCTCAGAATTAGTTTTGTTGGGCCATAAAACTTTAAAATACTTGTGCCAATAGGTACTTGAATTTTGTAGTCACTCTCACATGTTTTTTCTGTTTTACTTTTTACAATTGGCTTTATAAAGCATCCAGTGTGTATTTCTCTTGCCACAAAGTACAAATCTGCTATGTTTAATGCTGATTTGAAGCATCTAGATACTGGGCTTGCAATTCGAATTCACTTTCTTGTGTTTAAACTTTATGGACCCATTATTATTATTATTATTATTATTATTATTATTATTATATCCTTTAATTCTTAGAGGGACATAGGGCTTCAGCTGCACGTTTCCATTGCGTTCAGTCCTCTGCCAACGTTTTTACCCGGCTCCAGGTCTGCCCACATGCTTTCATCTCCTCTTCACATGACCTCCTCCAAGCCACCCTCACACTGACGACCAACTCGCCGCTTCCCTTTCAGGTTCCACTCGAGCAATGGCTTGTCTAGTGATGTCACTCACTTGATGGTTTCCTCAGAGTATGGCTAGCCAATCCATCTCCCTTTCTTCCTGCTTAATTGTTTCACAATCGGTTCCTGCTGAGTTGGTTGGCTCATTACCAGAGATCCCTCCCTGTTGCTGGTCTTTTCTTGCCGGCCATTTGATCTTGAGTATTGAGCGAAGATAACTGTTAATGAAGGTCTGAAGTTTGTTTGAGATGCTCTTTATGACGCGCTGGCCAACTCTCTGATCCGCATAGAAAGTAGCACTGACTGATTTCACATTGGAGTTGAAAATCCGGATCTTATTTTTGATGGTGAGTGCTGCTGACCTCCACACAGACCACTAGTTGTTCTCAATCTAGTTGACATTTCCACTGATAAACGTAGATACCATGCTTTATGATAGTGTTATCTGTTTTTGATATGATTATGGCACAGTGGTCAAATTTTCCTACAATATTAATTAGATTTATTACTTAAATCAGTTACTGTCGGGAAGCCCCATTGTATTAGTCAACTACTGGTCTAATGAAGTTTTAAAAGTAGTAGTATGATATATCTAACCACCAAATATTAGGTGATATTTTGTAATGTATCCAGTTGTAAGAAAAAAGAAAGAGCGATTGCACTAACCTGTGTCGCTCAAGATAAAACTATCAGTTGCACAGAGGAATTCACAGACCTCCGCGTTATATTAAAACTATATTCCGCCTACTCTCGATAGATTGTTGATTTACAAATAATTTGTTGTCATATTTTGGAGCTCTTTTCTACGTACCAGTATTTAAACTGGTTATGTTCGATATTTATACTAGTAGTTTTTCTAACTTCCATTTACTTCATTATTTCAATAATAATAATAATATGGCGAGAGGCAATAAACAAACTTATTATTGTTGATATAAGGTTGTGTGTTTTTGTATCAGTGCTGTACGTCATATGATTACCGGTGTAATTTGAAAGTCTAAATCGTTTTTTGCATAAGAAAATCCTAACTAATCGCGTAATAATAGTAATAATACTGTTTGATCATAGATGTCTACGATCTCTTTTTCTCACGTTAGGTGGTATAATAAGGTAAGTAATGTTGACGTTAGGCGTAGAGTGTTGGGCAAACAGGGAAAATCAATCGACGAGGCTATAAAGTTACGTAGATTGAGATGGCTAGGTCACGTGGTGCGCATGCGTAACCATCGCCTCCCCCGCCAACGGACATTACTAGCTGATATAGATGTAGGTTGGAAAAGAGTAAGTGGTGGCCAAACAAAAACATGGCATCAATCCATGAAATATTTGACAGTTAAACTGAGTCAGGTAGGTAGGCAGATGCAGACTTCAGGGTCGGGGCCCTTGGGACTCTAAGAATCAACGGCTGGAGACAATAGGTGACATGGCTCAAAATCGTTGTCAATGTCTCAGATGTATTCAGTCTCTGCAATCTTTCATATTCCTTTCTAGCATTACCCATTCTGTGTTTCACTCTTATACCTGTCAAACTCTATTGATTCTCTTCACTCATCTTCTTGTTTATCTTTGTGTGCTACTTGGAACATGGCAACTCGAACTGGTGCACTTCGGTGCCAAGTTCTATGTTGAATCCAGACAGACAAACAGACAGTATAATACTGTTATAGTGATGCTATTTCACTTCTAATTATCCGATGTTTTCGAATGAACATTTATCAATAATTGTTATATACTGTGAAATCAAAGCATAGGTAGTGAGTGTCAGAGTTTAAAATCTCCTCCACTGAGTTAATAAGTATTTCTCATGGTTATTTTTTGGAAAATACCTGAAAGCTATTAAGTTGTGGATACATATTATTTGGGGAACTGGGACGACTCAGACAAGTCCTCTTAGAGCATGGTTATCCTCTAAGATTTATCGAGAAAAACATGAAGTTAAGAGAAAAGCCTGAAAGAGTCCAGACGGTGCCGAAGAAACTGCTCTTTATGAGTGTTGAATTTAAAGGTGATACTGCAGCTGAGATCCTGAAAAATCGCTTATGCAGATCACTGAGGAAAGCCTTCTTTATGGCTGACCTACGTATCAATTTCTACAGCCGACAAATGATCAACGGATGTGTGAAGGATAAACTGCCGCCGCTTTGGGCCACGTCAGTGTGTGTTTATAAATTCACCTGCTCGTGTGGAGCTAGTTATATTGGCCGAACAAAGCGCCGGCTTTCCAAGCGCATCTCTGAACATTATCCGGCATGGTTAGCAAAGGGACAATACAAGACAATTACTAGCTCAATTCTCGAGCATTTGGTGAACTCAGGCCACGCAGCTCCACCAGGGTCATCTTTCAACATCATCTACAAAGTGAAGCCAAATGGTTCAAAGGGTGTCAGATTTCGGCTTTTGTGTATGGCAGAGGCGCTGGCAATTCATCAATACAACCCTGAACTCTGTATACAGAAAAAGTTTGTCCAGTCTCTTATTCTACCTTGGTCTTAACCTCTTCACTAATCGTTCCCTGTAAAAAACTTTTCTTCTTGTTTTTAATTTTACTCTTAGTTTTCTTTTGCTTTAATAATTAATTCACTGTTATCAGTTTCACATGCTCCTTTTGTATATTCCCACACCCTCTTCACACTTGTTAAATCGACACTCAAATACCTTTATTCTCACTCACGAGCAATTTTAACCTTATCAAACTTCTATCTTTGTCCCGTTGAGTACTACGTAATTTACAACTTTTAATTGTCAATTCTAAAGCCACTTATGATTAATTATATCAATTATGTCACCCCCTATTACTGAATAATAGACCACTATATATTTTTGTATGTATAAATACGACTGTACAGCCTCTGAAGATGATTTCGTCGATAAAGAAAATTTTCTTCTCTGAATCTGTCTTTTATTTGGTATTCTTTATCCATATATATTCAGTGGTTTAAATTCATTGGTGACAACTATCTCTACTGTTTTCCATGGGTATTCAACTCTCTTCCCTAACTTTGCATTCATTTTTGTGTTATAGGTTAAATCATGCCTTCTTAAAGTGTTTTGCACCAGTAGGTCAATAACGAAATGGAAGTTGTTGGCACGTCATTATTGCCTACCATCATTTTAGAATCCAATGTAAGGCTACCAGTTATAGTAGAGTACTAGCTTTCTCTTTAACAGCCAGTCATACGTAGTTTCTTATCATGTGCAATAAAAATCAAAAAAAACCTATCATTATGAATGAGCTATGTCTTGTTAATCTAATTATCGTTATTTATTAGCATGACATATGTTTCCTAACCCATTTTTATTATTAACGAAGGAACTTTTCGCTAAAAAAATTCTCAGTTGACTTTTTTTTACATACCAAGCACCAGTTCAAGTTAAGTTAATCTGTGTCACTGGCATCAGAACTTCTAAAAATAGTAACTAAAACAGTGTTTAAAATTCGCAACTAGTTGTATAATTCCAACCCAGGTGGAAGGATAATCTACTGAGTCTGGTCACTTCAATGTGCACTTATGAATTTAACTGTTCATTTGGAGACAGTTAGATATGTAGAACGATTCGGCAAGCCCACTGTCGCCTTCTGAAGCATTGTGCAACGTGGTTAGGCGAATGAGTCGTGAAGTCAATCAGATTGACACACCTAGTTGATACACAGTTCTATAGAAGGTGGCACCTGAGTTCTCTAGGTTGCTAAGCATATCTGAGGCAGTCGCCACAAAGATTTTTCAACCCAGTTCAATTCCTGTCCCTCTTTTGGCCTTCACCACCAACCTAGAATAGTTATCTCTCCCGATAACACTGGATAATTGTAAATAGTATCTTATGTTTTAATTGTATTTAATTGTAACGCTATCTGTACTGTCAGTATTGTGCTGTGCTGTAGTTGTACATTTTAGTCTCGGTTTCACAATTTACCATTATTACTATATTATCTAATTGCTATGAGACAATAGTTATTTCCCCTTCTCGCCCTACCACTATGCACATTCTATCTATATACTCACGGTTGTCTAGATTTTTATAAAAACTTGAATGAGTTTACTTTGTTATAATTATTATGATCATCTCAATTGTTATCCATTAACTCACATCCCTGAACTCTGATCCTATTTTAATAGACACATTGTGACTAATACTTCATTATGTAAATGTAAAGCTTGGTGAGAATTTATCGAAAGTAAATATTTGCTTAAATCGCATTCTATAAAGGGAATATTTAAGTTGATTAAACTGTTCTTGTATGATTTCTGCCTTTTAAAAATATCTATTCACTATGTATGGCTCTTTTACTCTCATTGATGTAAGAATAGAACTTGGGAATTGTGATCGAGTATAATTTCATTGCATAGGGGATTTCACCATGAGCTGACATCATTTAGAGAACCACTGGAAAACCTGGGAGTATTGGACAGCTGTTTTGTTGTAGTTTGGGACTCTTCATCAGTACACAACCACTGGGGTTCGAACTCAGGACCTTCTGGTTACAAGGCTAGCGAGCTCGTAGACCATTGAGCCACTGGGATGCGATACAATGGTCCTTGAATTCTAACTTCTGCCAATTCACGACATAGCGCAACCATATCGCAATGTCTTCTTCGATGGGTTACTGCCTCATCAACCTGCTGCACCCTACTGGTCACGGCTCCCCACTAGAACCCAAGATTAACTACCTGAATAGGGCCAGTCACTAGTGAGCATCAGATTAATTTTCAAGTATTGGTTTTGTAGGGATTTTGTTTGATTGTATGGAGGATTTCACCATGAGCTGACATCAGTTAGAAAATCACTGGAAAACCTAGGAGTACTGGATCGGGTCCCAGTGGCTCAATTGTCTACGAGCTCGCCTTGTAACCAGAAGCTCCTGTGTTCAAACCCCCATGGGTGCGTACTGATGAAGAGTCCGTAACTAGTACAAAACAGCTGTCCAGTATTCTCAGGTTTTCCGGTGGTTGTCTAACTGATGTCATCTCATGGTGAAATCCCCCATGCAATCAAACAAAATCCCTACAAAACCAATACTCGAAAATATAATTCCATTATAGAGAAATTTTATTTTGGTAAAGCCTCACAGTGTTATACAGTAGTATTTACTGATGACGTTTTGAGTACAGTTTATTGCTCATAATCATATCAAGTTACTGAAACAACTTTTTAACTTCTTTTAAAAGAAGTTATGTTATATGAAGTTAGAAAGTTGTGTGAATAACCTGATATGATTATGAGTAATCATTGTATAATTCTGATGCATAGTATTTTATAAATTAGTTCGCCTTTTCATTTTCATTCTATAGGTTTTTATTAACGAAACTTACATTGAAGATTTTCCACGATTCAAACACCGTGGGCTAATGCTTGACACTTCTAGGCACTATATGAGTAAATCTGTTATCCTGTTAAACTTGGTAAGTGGAATTGTGTTGTTTATTATTTAGATTTTTCAAGTTAGGACTGACTGAATCACTAATCTGCGAATACTACCTGTTATAAAATGCATTAAACTATGTACTGCTGATTAATTGAGATGAGTAGTTGTACACCACTCATATCAATCGGCATTACTACCTAGTCAGATCCTAGTGATCTAAACATATATATATATAATTGGTGGATGGTGACTAGCAGTGGAATCCAGGATGCTCATTTCGTCAGCTGAATGTACCTGCATCCCGCAGTGAGTGATGATGATGTTCTCACCGAGGCTCAAACCCAGTGCCCATAGTTTCAAACGCCAAAGCGTTATCCACTAGACCACTTGGGTGGGCCATGAGAGCCACCTCTTGTGCAACGGGTCACATTGATTTAACTGAATTTTTGATTTTCCCATCGATTGATTGAACCAAAGTGCTCGGTCTCAGGTTGACATGTCGGCTTCTTGTGCAGATGCTTCGACGATGTCTGGGGATTTAATTAGTATTTAATTGGGGGGTGGTGACAAGCAGTGGAATCCAGGATGCGCATTTCGTCCTACTTGGGACTCGTCAACTGGATGTACGTGGATTTCTCAGTGAGTGATGTTGTTTCCACCGAGGCTCGAACATCATCGAAGCATCTGCACAAGAAGCTGACATGTCAACCTGAGACCGAGCACTTCGGTCCAATCAATGGACGGAAAAATTTGAAATTTTAGATAAGAAAGGTGTGTATGCATGCAAAATATTACCAATATGCAAATAAGCCGCCGAAATCTACTCCTGATGATCTTATGGTTTCAGCAAATATATCAGAATAATTGGAAAAAACCCTGAATGCTTGTGCTGAGTGTGATAAAGATCTTGATTTCGGTCAACTGTCATGAATCTAATTACTTTACTTGAACAATATTTCACAAAATTAACTGGGCTTTTTTGCTTTTGCGTATTTACAGTGATAATGAATAAACCAGGAATTACGACTACAAATTTAGGTAGAGTGGCTAGCAATACCTTTGCAAAATAGTATTAATAACTCTGTATAATTATTTGTGAACAATATACTTGTCACTGCATGGCTTAGAATATGCTTGGCCGAGTGATTGTGATAGAGTACAGTGTGGACGGTATGATATGATGTGTGACGTGTAAATGCCGAAAACTATGTCAACAGATTCTTCTGTCCTTTTAATTATTGATCCAAATCCTACCAAATAGAGAGAGAATTTCGTGGCTTATATATAAACAATCCAAATGAAGCTTTGAAGCTTCATGATGAGCGTGTTGTTCTAGGTACAGAGTTTAGCCACGAACTAAACTTATAAATCACCAAATTCATTTTTATGTCTATTGATGGATTGGTACGTGAGTACGCTTATGTCTTGTCCCCAGGTACCTTGGTCTAAGATGATACTGGTATTTGTTTTCCTTCAGTGCCCCTGTCGTTTGATTAATCCAATAGATTTTTTTCTATTGAAATGAAGCGTGCAGTTAAGTAAACGGCAAAATTATTATTAACACCACATCGTTATAGAGTCATTCATTTATTGAATTCCTGTTTTTCTCTCATGTTTTTTCGCTAATCCAAATGTTTTCTTTCAGGAGGCCATGAGTTACAATAAACTGAATGTCTTTCATTGGCATATTGTGGATGACCAGTCATTTCCATATCAAAGTCATGCATTTCCTGAGCTTTCAGCCAAAGTATGTTTAAACTAGAACAATTTTCATTTTCAGTTATTATATATATATACCTTAAGTGTGTGTGTGTGTGTGTCAATTAGGCAGAAAGTTGGATATATGCATGTTCTCGTTCACATATCTATATGTATCCCAATGAATGTGAGTGTGTGTGTTTATTTCGTCTCCATATCTCTCTTAGCTTCATACTTTCACTTTCCTCATTGTTTAGCCAGATATCTGGGATTTCATTGGTTTACTCGGTGGTAGCATTTTATGCTGGCCATGAACTGCATTTTACAGACTAGATAATCGATAACATGTATTATCATACCTGCTACAGTAGCTACTGGATTTCAGTGAATATTAATCATCAATCATAACGTATGAATAATTCACTTAGATGGCTTGTTTGAAGTTGATTGTTTATTGAGACGGTTTTTTTGACGAATTGAAATCCTTTAAAAAAGCAAGGTATGCTATTGGCTTTGATTCTCCTCAGTGTACATCTGCAACCTTATACACGTTTGGGCAACAGTAAAGAATAGACACCATAGTCAATTGACCTTGACTTAACTAATCAGAAAGCTCAGTATTGCAAATTGGTGCTTTTCATAATTTTTGTTGCAAAATTCATCCTAACCCTAGTTTTTGTTGTATGTTTCACTCTAACCGTAATCTTCGTTGTAAGTTTCACCTTAATCTTAGTCATAAGCCCAAACGTCCACAGTGAATCAGGGTGAAACTTGCACCGAAGATAATGAAAAGCATCTATTTGCGGTGCTGAGCTATTTGATTGGCTGGTCCAAGGTCATTTGACCGTGGTATCTATATTTTACTGTTGCACACGACTGAACTTACGATTTCATCGTCAATGTTTTTATTCATTATTGGTATAGTTTTCTGTGTTACTGTAAGATCGCACAAACACTTAAGAAGTGAATCAAAATGTTAGAAACTTTTTTGTAAACTGTATGTGAACCGGTTCCGAACGGTAAATAATATAGTTTTGCATTCCTAAGTATATCGATTGAAATATATAACTCATTCTTAATGATTCGTCCACGAAATAAAAAATGATTGTCATCCGTCAATTCTTGATGTTTTATCGTTGTGATGATAGCACTAAATGTAGTGTTGTCTTTAAGGGGTCATATATCCATTAAAATATGCATTCCGTATCCTCACGACCAACAAATTACACTTGTTTCACATTTATGTTTCGATAGAGTAAAATTCTCTCACTTAAAGTCAGATAGTTTTCAATACCGAGACAGACATTCAACGACTTCATTTGGTGGATGGTAACTGGCAGTGGAATGTAGGGTGCGCACTTCGTCCTATTTGAGACTCATCATCTGCATGTACCTGCATCCGCAGTAAGTGATGATGTTCCTACCGTGGCTGGAACCCAGTGCCCATAGTTTCAAACACCAAAGTGTTATCCACTAGGCCATTTGGGCCACGAGAGCCACCTCTTGTGCAACGGGTCATATCAGTTATTTAATTTAATTTTAGATTTTCCCGCACAAGAAGCCGACGTGTCAACCTGAGACCGAGCACTTCGGTCCAATCAATCGATGGAAAAATCTAAAATTGAATTAAATTCAATGACTTCGTCTATTGCTGACATTTTTAAGTCTTTTCAGACTGTGCCTTCAATCAACGTTCTATTAATTTATCTAACATTTCACGTTTGACTAAGCAATCGGTAATCATGCATAATGGAATTCTTGGTCACTTCAAACTATTAAAGATTTCCATACAAAATTTAAAACAATATATGTGAGTGAACAAGATTGTCTCCAGTTAGGTTTCATCGGGTTTTACTCTAATATACCCAGCTTCACATAGAAATATCAATCACAAACTAATCATATGATTTGCCAATAGAATGATGACTGTGTGTATTTAAATTGTACATTTATTAACAGATATATATAAAGGGTAGTACTGGTGTCATTCTTTGGTTGAGCCTTAACTGGTCAAAGGAAGGATAATGGCTGTGCGAACTCCCTCTAAACGCGTAGTTCGATTGTTAATCGTCTCCGCTATATACAATGGACAAATCCGGAGTCTTTGGGAAAGATTCAATGTGATGCGATGAACCATAAATGGTTTTTTTGTTTGTTTTTTTCCACGGGATGACCACTATCAACTAAATTCGGCGAGGCGGAACTTCAGACGGCTTTGTTTTTCACTCATATTCTTCCTCTGAGTTGCAAGCACTCACCGACTAGAAAGTGATGAACACAGGTTAGCTGCTTAAAATGTTCTCCGTGCGCTTATGACTAGTTTTTGGGACAATATTTCATTTGATAAGTCGCCACTAAATAGTAACTCATTTATATATTTACAGGGTGCCTATCGAGAAGATTTGGTCTATACTTCAAAAGATATTAGTGAAATTTTGGAATTTGCGCGATTTCGTGGTATTCGAGTAATTCCTGAATTTGACATACCAGGTATGTGCGTATATATTTGTCAATAGTATTGTATAATTTGTTGGAATTATCGTTTTGAATTTCCTGCTGATTGTTTTTATTGGACCGGAATGTTCACTCTCTACTGACATGTCAGCCACACATCCTACCTTATTGTGTGGTTTCGTGTTAATGTTCTGATAATCTGACCACCCCGATCTACTAGTTTGATTTATTTACTTTACCCTACAGTCACTGCATGTTATTTTGTCGTCATCCCGAATAATCCAGTGGTGGTAACGTACGTTTGTGACTGCAGCAGCAGTGGGTGACACGGCTTCGATTATCAGAGAGAGGACATGCGTTCCTTCAAGGTGATTGCATACATATAATCATTGTCAGTTTATATACACGTATACCAATAAATATGGCTATAGAGGCAGTCAGAACTAATTTCTGACCAAGAACTTGAACTTAGGACGAAAGTGCCACTTGTGGACATAATGCTGGGAGTACAGCTATACCTGACTTCCACAGTATTTAAATTCTAGGGGATACAAACAAACTGAGGGAGTTGCCATGGGATCACCAATATCCCCGGTTGTAGCAGATGTATTCATGGATAGGTTGGAAAACATAGCTACTGAAACGTTCACCCCACTCCCCCCACCACCCCAAAAGTATGGTGGAGGTATGTAGATGACACATTCACTGTACGTAGAACGCAAGATATAGATAGATTTTTCGAACACATTAACTCAAAGGTGGAATTATTTCAATTTACTTATGAATTGGAAAGTCAGGAAGGGGAGCTTCCAATGTTAGATTGCAGCGTAAAAAAGGAAAGAAGATGGGAAGTTAAACACTAGTGTTTACAGGAAACCCACACATTCAAACAGATATTTGGACTTCCGATCATCCCATCCTATGTCAGTAAAAGTAGGATTGGTGAAATATTTAAGTGACAGAGCACAAAAACTAAGTAGTACCAAGGAAAATCTAAGACAGGAAGTGATACACATAAAAGAAACCTTGAAACTTATTAATTACCCTGATAAATTAGTCAGAAAGTATGTAGGGAAATGTAAAAATAAAATAAATAATGTTAGAAGTGATAGTGATAATAATAATAATATTAATGACGACATGAATGTCCAACATGCACAGGATAATGACAACACCAACAGTAAGGAATCTAAATCATCAGTAGTATTTCCGTACAAGGAAGGAACCTCGGAAACCACCTTACGCAGAATTCTTAACTAGGCAGGAATAAAAGTGGCTGGCATTCAAACCCACAAACTCAATTAGAAACAAGCTTTTTCGGTTAAAGGATCCTGTGGAACCTTTAGAACAAAACAATTTAGTTTATCTAATACCTTGCAATGACTGTGAGGTCAAATACATAGGTCAAAGAAGTAGAACAGGGGCAGTCGGACTAACCGAGCTTAAAAACCTAGCAAAATCCGGATTGCTTGACCCGAATAAGATGAGAAATCTAGAGAATAGTTTAGCTATAACACTACATGCAATTACACACAACCATACAATGGGATGGGATAAAATGACAGTTTTAAAATCTAATATAGCGGGAAGGAGGGAGAGATTGATAACAATGAAAACTTTGTTTATCGAATCAACTGCAAATACGTTTAACAGGAATGATTCAATACCTGTCCCAAATAACTGGATACATTTAATAAACAAACTAATATGGAATTATATGCAATCTCGCTTGCTGGTGAGTGTCACCAAGATTGAAACATAATTAGAAGGGTTACTTTCAATACTAACGATTCCCTCTAAGCACCTAGTAAAATTCTCCACATTGTGAATTACAAATACCAATAGAAATAAGCAAAAAAACAGGTGAAAATCCCTTAAGTCAATGTAACGAGTACCAGGTAACACCACATATAAAGAATTTCAAATAATCAGTTAATAAATTCATTCCAACTGATTTTATTGAATTTGAGATTTTCCCGTCGATTGATTGAACCAAAGTGCTCGGTCTCAGGTTGACATGTCGGCTTCTTGTGCAGATGCTTCGACGATGTCTGGGCATTTAATTAGTATTTAATTGGTGGGTGGTGACAAGCAGTGGAATCCAGGATGCGCATTTCTTCCTACTTGGGACTCGTCAACTGGATGTACGTGGATTTCTCAGTGAGTGATGTTTTTCCCACCGAGGACCACGAGTCTAGTGGATAACGCTTTGGCGTTTGAAACTATGGATACTGGGTTCGAGCCTCGGTCACCATCCATGAATTAAATATCATTTCAACTGAGTATGTGGGTGGAAGAATAAACAAGTAAAGTAAACGTGAAAGTGATGAAAAGATTTAATAGTGGTAAATATTCCCATATAATGAATTAAGGGTCAATCTGAACGAATGGTGTTTTTTTTCAATAATTTCTCTTCAGGTTCTTACAATTATAAAATATAATATTTGTTGTCATTACAATAATAATGGTCAGTCATGCGGTGGGTACATTTCTACGTAGACTAACAGTTTATTTATGAGATGTCAAACGTGACAAACGTGCTAGGCTGAATTTAATTACAAAATGCTATGAAATGGGAGACAATGGTGAGGATTAGTCATACTAGATTTAAAGAATGTGGGGTAGGAAAACTTGACAAGTCAGTTCAAGGTTATAAAAGGTGTCAGGTGAGTGAGTGGCTAGTACAAAGTAGTATGTATTCAAGAGGAGATAGTAAGACTGCAATGAGAGGTCCATCATGAAATAATCAATGTGTGAAATGAAACAGGTGGAGGTACGTATCGAGAAAAGACAAAGAAAACAGTATTGAATGTTTGAATGAAGGATATAAATTATAACGAATAATACTTGTAATAATTAGCAAAGCACGAAAAAACCAAGAGGGATAAGGAGAAATGCACTCTTGGCGAGAACAAGAAACAATAATCTAAGTTTAGCCACGGTAGGAACAGCGTCTGGACGTGTTCATTTTGGATACAGAATTCCGGTTTAGTCGATCTTATTGCAACAGCGTCAGGTATGTAAGGGAGGCGTAAGCTAATTGGACGTGATAACGACCTCGAAATTTGGTGTATAACCCTGAAGGCTGTGTTGACATCGATGCGATGTCCAGTATCGACCAAGTGTGACAGAATCCGAGCTTTTTATGCATTTAACTTCTCCCTTGTTGAACTAAGCTGGTAAATGTTCTCTAATCTGTAGACGAACCTGCCTAATCGTATGCCCTATATAACTTGAAGCAACGGTTGAAGTTGTACATGCATGAAGAAGAGCTGAATCAATTCTTTTTTACAACGTTAAATTCTATGCTATTAAATTTCACACAATATAACGTAACGTTTTTATTTTTTTCGATTTGTCTACTAATCCTATAATTGCACTCCCTTTTTCAAGTTCTATCCATCCTATGAATTATTCTATATATGACATTAATTTGCTTTGCCACTTGACATTTAACTATGATTATAATCACAAACATTTAGTTTTTAATTGCATTTCACACCATTATTATTATTTTATGCATTCACACCTATGATTGAATTCCCTCACCGGATATAACTTCTTAAAAACCATATATATACGACTGTACAGCTTGATGATAAATTCGTTGAAAACAGTCTCTTCGCTGAATCACTTGTTTTGACTTTCTAAAGGTTAGGTAAGACATTTTTCAGTTGCTGGGTGAACATTGGATGGCTACTGAAAGATAAGAACAGATATGCAGAGTAGAATGTTTTCTTTATTGCCTTGGTTAGACGTTGCGAAAGAACCTCCGCAGGAGTATCTCCCCTGAATTGTAGACGTAAAAATAAAGGCTTTCTCTCCACCGTTGTCAGTTCATGCTTAATAAATAATAATTTTTTTCTTCACGTTCCTAGTGGAACATAGGGCCTCAAGCTAGTGGCTTGAAGTTTCTGTAGCAGTGTTTAAGTTTTACAGGATGGGGTTGCTAGCCTCATGCCCAACCTTTCCTCTTTACCAGGATTTTTTTCTGGCTTAGCGAGGTAAAGGAGTGCGTCGGCCGGGGATTGAACCCGGGACCATGTGCATGGTCGGCGAGCGTCTTAACCGCTATGCCACCGACGCGTCAGTTCATGCTTACGACTATTTTAAACTATGCTAGCTTTAATGAACTTCTTTGGATATCCGTTCTCGCTTAGAATAACCTGGATATTCTGGAGTTTCTTCTCTACACAATCTTCTGAGAAATGGATCTCGCTCTGAATGCAAAGCACCTGATCAGATTACGTTTGTATTTCATCTATACAAAGCTAGGGAAGTATGTATACTGAACTTTGGTCTTTAGCTTTTTAAATATCGTTCTTTTGACGGAACCATCCTCTCTTCTCGTTAGTAGGACATTAAGCAAGTGCAGAGAGTCTTTATATTCTCCTTCGTAGGTGAAATGGACCTCTGGGTGAGCATTACTGAAGTTTTCAAAAGAATGGATACTGAACAAAGATTTCTCTTTTCGATAACTTCATCATCAGGCTCTACATTTATACATACATTATAGTGAATGAATGAATGAATGAATTCGTGTTATGAACTACCTTAATTTTTAAATAGCATCAAATCAATAATATTGATAGATTACAGTTCAATAGCGTCAACATAAAAATACACTGAATATCAGAAAAATTAGGAAAGATAATAATACAAATTCATGAATTTATGGTCTCTACTGAAGGCCAGGGCAGTATTAATGGCTGAACTTGCTTCTTTTGCACACAAAGCATTTTTTTGTTCCATGCGAATCGCGATAGCCTCTGCTGTTTAGAGCATGCGATACTCCAATGTTTTTGGCAATTTATTTGGCACCCGGTAGATTATAGAGAAGGATTCTTCCACGCTGGCTTTGTGGCCGGTTCGGACCAGGTGGTTTTCACTACACCTTTACTCAGCCATACTGGGAGGTGTTCTCGGGCACAAAAAGCCAAGTTCCTAGAGCAACGGCCGATATAACTCACCTCACAAGCGCAGTTGAATTGGTAGATACAACTGGAAGTAGCTAGTCTAGGTGCGTCAATTTTCAA